ATGTAGCTCTGGATTTGAACCAGGAAGTGACTGGGGTTCAAATCCATATTTGACCATGAAATTCACGTGCTGACTTTTGGTAGGTCACAGTCTCTCAGGTAGACACAGGAAATCAACTTATAACAATAGGTGGCTTGGGTTTCTTGAGAGGGTGAATTCCCCCACCTTGAGACCATGACCTGCCCCAACTTTTTAATGTGAAGTCATTGATTCATCAGCCTAGTTGTGGCTTGGTATCACCCACTCTGAGTGACAGTAGAGATGGAAGCAGGAATCCTTCTGAGGCCTCCTCAGGGAAACAAGGGATGGGATCCAGGACTTTTGCACATGGCAGATGTGTTCTACCTGTTGAGTCATTATCAACAAGGGCAAAACACCATTTTGACATCCAGGCAGCAACTTAACAGATGATGTGCACTTTCATTGCCTGTCACCACGACAACAAATGGAAGGAACTCCAAAGAGATGTCAGATACCAAATTCTAACATTTCTACAGCTACCATTTAGAAGTGCATGAGCTCTTTTACTTATGTAAACCATTTGTATTTCACCTTCAGTAGCTCAACTGGCCTCCCTTCCTTGTTGAATGTGGGAAGAAGGTACAAATTTTGAATGCAACTGCTGTTTTGGGGTGTATGTGTGTGAGGCGGAGACATTTATTTTGTTTTTACTTTGTGAAATGGCCTGGGGGAAAAGTTCAGTAGGTCTGTAACAACAACAACAACAGCAACAATGTGCCACCAAATCAATTCTGGCAATCCTGCCCATGGTTTTCTAGGTACAGAGTACTTAGAAGAGTTTTCCCATTCCGTTTTGGGGGCACCCTGGGACTGTGCAGCTTGCTCAAGGCCATTCAGGCTGGCTCATCTTCTGGAAGCCACCGTGAGGAATTGAACTCCCACCTTTTGTCTCCACGGCCAGATGCCCAACCCACACATTTGTGGAGTCCAGTTCAGCCAAGCAGCAGAGAAAGGCAGCTGCCTACATAATCGGTTGTTATGTTTTCCTGTTTGCTATTTTTGCCTCCTCCTCCTGCATAAAAGAAGAGTGAGTGATACAACAAGGGTATCCAGAATGCACCCCATATTGTTGTTGTTCCTTTCAGAAGAGCCTAGGTTCTTCAGCTACCTGTTTCCTGGAAAACAGGCCTGTTTTACAGTCTCTGTATTGGAGATGACTCATTTTCTTGACTGGAAAGTGGAGGGAAGCTGTATTCTTGAAGGCTGTATTCTCAAAGTTGAGGGAAGCTGTTGAATAAATCAGAGAACAGTCCTGAGCCGGAGTGTTTTCTTCTCATGCAAATGCACCTGGGCGGGGGGGGAGACCGTAAAAAGCAAACAGCTCCTGATATATGCACTCTTCATTCTGCCTGAAGCAAATTCAATAGATTGACATTTGGATTTAATCTGGAGGACGGCAAAGAAGACAGGAAAGCGAATGAAACGGAATCTTCCTCCCCAGCCCTCACTCTCTAGCCTTTCTCTTCCTTTTGCTACCACACACTTTTCACACATCAAAACCTATTTTAGGCTGGCTGATGAGTCCCAGATGTCTAAGGAAGGCAGCAGGAGCTACGGTTATTCCATTTGCGGCTTCACACGGCTTTCCTGGCAACCTCCTGTGTGAGATTCAGCCAAGTGGGAAGAGCATAACAAAGTGGGAAGCAAAAGAAGTCTACTTTCCAGTGATTGTGTGTGTGTGTGTGTGTGCACGTGCTCAAGGGTGCTGTAGGAAGAAGTCATGAGCTCAAAGAGCTGAAGCGATGTGGGAATTGCAGAGTGTGGTCCACGCATGTACCGGTACCTTTTTCTGGTTGCTCCCAGATGAAACTGGAGATGAGGCAGGTGAGTCTAGCAAGCAATGCTAGATTGCCAGAAAGGACAACCTTTGACACCGTGGGTAATCCATTCCAGGTTGTCTTCCCATAGGCAGGGAAAGTGGCTGCAGCTGTTCGGGGCTTTTTTGGTATTTGGAATAGGAAGGATAGCTGAGGGAGACAGTGGCAGGAACTCTGGAAATATTCTAACACAGTCAGATAATGATCTTTTTCAAGCACTCAGTTATGAATATCCCTGGGGTCCTTCCAGACAACGCTTTCACCTTGCAATAGCCTTGCTTCAAATGCAGAATTTTACAGGAGTGGCCCAGTGGATGCCACCTTCCATTTGTAACCTTCCTCTTTATGGTTGCTTCTTCTTCCCCCCCATCTGTTACAGAGGAGAAGAAGGCTGTACAAATGGCTTTTAACTAGGAACACTAAGAATCACATCTGTGGAAGCCCTCTGGGTGACCTTGGGAAAGGCACTATTGTCTCAGCATCAGCTAACTTGCAGGGGTTTTGTGAGACTTAACATGTGAGAGAAAACTAGGTATGATATGGCCAGGACTGTTGGACAGGTGACGACTACCACGTTTCTGCTGGACCCTTGCCCTTCCTGGCTTATAAAAGCTGCCAGAGAGGGACTGGCAGCAGGATAGGATCCCAGCATGCTTAGAGGAGGTAGTAATAAGATCATTGTTGGGTGGGTGGGGAAGACTCCTTGGATCCCATAGTATTGGATAATTATTGGCCAATCTCTAATGTTACATTCTTGGGCAAGGTGCTAGAGGGGGTTGTGGCTTCCAGGGGATCCTGGATGAGACAGATGATCTAGTTCTATTTCAATCTGGCTTCAGGTCTGGTTATTGGACAGAAACTGCTTGGCAGAAACGCTGTGCCTGGAACTGGACAGGGGGACAAGGGAAGGGCACTATCCCTGTTAGTTCCGTTGGACCTCTAAGCGGCTTTCGGTACCAGCCATGATATCTTTCTGGGCTGGATGTCTCTCTGGGATGAGACTTGGAGGCACTGAGAACTCAGAGGGTGGTGCTGGGGGGACACGGCTGTTGGCCTGTGGAATCCCTCTGGGTTCTGTTTTGTCCCCTATGCTATTTAACAACTACATGAAACTGCTGTGAGAGGTGATTTGGGGTTCGAGGCTTCAGTGTCGCCAGCATGCAAATGACACCCAACTCTATCTCTTTCCCATCAAAATCCAAGGAAACTGTTTCAATTCTAGGTCAGTGTCTAGTGTTAGTAATGGATTGGATAAGGGCGAATAAACTGAAACTTAATCCAGACAAGGACAGAGGTGCTCCTGGTCAGCCAAAAGATAGATCAAGGAATAGAGATGGGGTTACACTCTCTCTGAAAACACAGGTGTGCAGCTTAGGGGTCCTATTCAATTCATCCCTGAGCCTGGATGCCCAGGTTTCAGCAGTGAGCAGAAGTGCATTTGCAGAATTAAAACTAGTGTGCAAGCTGTGCCCACTCCTGGAGATGTCTGATCTGACCATGGTGACGCATACTTTAGTTACACTTTGGCTGGATTATTGTAATGCACTCTATGTAGGGCTGCCTTTGGAAAGTGTTTGGAAACTCCAGTGGGTCCAAAATGCGGCAGCCATAACATTAACTGGGGCTGGTTACAGGGAACATATAACTCCCTTGTTACAGCAGATTTATAGGCTGCTAATCCATTTCTGGGCACAATTCTAAGTGATGGTTTTAACCTATGAAGCCCAAACATCTTGGGTCCAAGTTATCTGAAAGACCACACCTCCTGTTATGAAGCCACCTGGGTATGTATTATCATCAGGAGAGGCCTTTCTCTCGGTTCCATCACCTTCATGGGTGCGTTTGGTGGGGACACAGGAGAGGGCCTCCTCTGTCACTGCTCCCAGGCTCTGGAACTCCCTCTCACTGGCAGCCAGGCTGGCCCCATCTTTGCTGTCCTTCCACAAACAGATGAAGAGTTTCTTTTCAGGCAGGTTTTCCTTTAAATTACTGGTTGACCAAGGGGATATTTTAAAGGGATTATTTTATTCTATGCTTTACTTGTGTTTTCAATATTGCTCTTATTATGAGCTTTAATTTGATATCTGTTGTAATGATTTTTTAATATTGTTAGAATTTATTATTTAGCTTTAAACTCTGTATCTTTTAATACTATAAGCCACATTGGATCCTTTAGGATAGGTGTCCACAATCCCCTAGGCAGGAGCGGGCCATAGACACAGATCTCCTGGGCCCCCATGAGCAAGCGTCATGCGCATGAGCGCACCACACCCTCACGCAAGTGTGCCACGCCCCCACTCGCACGGACCCCGCTCCCCAACTGGTCCACAGTTGGGAAAACGTTGGGGACCACTGCTTTAGGGGAAATGTGGCATAGAAATATAAATAAGTCATTGCAGGAAAGACTAGGAATAAAGGTAAGGTAATAACATAAGTAAATGGGCAGAAGGCTCTCATAAACTAAGTGGCATGGTTGTGTGAGACATCTTCCACTTGTACAAATACTGTATTTGGTAATTTTCCGGGTTTTCCCCTGCACACGATTTTATGATGGATATAACCCCCTTTTAAAATTCCTACAAAACTGATGGTGACATCATTAGATAAAACACTGTTTCTGTTAGTGAGGAGTAAATCCCTAAGAGGAAAAGGTTGTTTATTATACCACTCAATGTGGGATTCTGTGACTTGAAATTGTATGTGCAGTGTGCATTCACCTAAAGGCAAACAAACTTAAGCCTGGTCTCCAGACATCACAGAATGAGATGGTAGAAGAGAGCATACGTATAATGAAATGTGATGGTATACAGATGTTCAACTTTTGAATGCTCCTCAATGTAAACATGTTCCCCTGGACTCCAGAGAGTCCTTAATAAAAACCTGTTGTGGTTTTTCTTTTGTTTCAGTTACTTGATTCCTGCTGGGTTGAAAGCTGTAGTACTGGGGTTAAAACTTGCAGTCTGCCCTGGAGAAGATACAGGTAGTCTGGTCCCTAGCCTCTACTGTCAGAGCGTCTTTCCCCCTGCAGCCTCTGCACAAGCATCTTAATAGGTCTTTGTTAAACCTGACTTGGCTTCTCCTTCAACTATTTCTTTTTTTTTAAAAAAAAATGTATTTTTACATATATATTGTTTTCTTTCTCTCTCTAACTGCATGGTGCAGGTTTTTTGTCAACTTCCCATCTGCCAAGCAGTACTTCAGCCAATTCAAGCACATGGAGGACCCACTAGAGATGGAGAGGAGTCCACAGCTGCGTAAACATGGCAGGCGGGTGATGGGAGCAATTAACAGTGTGGTGGAGAATATCTATGATTCAGAAAAAGTGGCCTCCGTCCTAGCCTTGGTGGGCAAGGCGCATGCCGTCAAGCACAAAGTTGAGCCTTTCTACTTTAAGGTAAAGCCAAACTCACGCTTTTGGTCCTTAATGGCGGAAGGGGAGACAAGTGAGGATTACAAATAAAACAGACAAGTAACCCTTTTCCACCCAAGTTGCCCAAAACAAAATAAAAGCAAAGCAAAGCAAAGCAAAGCGTGCTGCTTATATACCGCCCCATAGCGCTTCAAGCACTCTCTGGGAGGTTTAGAATTTAATTATGCAGGCTACACATTGCCCCCCTCAGCAAGCTGGGTACTCATTTTACCGACCTCGGAAGGATGGAAGGCTGAGTCAACCTTGAGCCGGCTACCTGGGATTTGAACCCCAGGTCGTGAGCACAGTTTTAGCTGCAGTACAGCGGTTTAACCACTGCGCCACGAGGCTCCTCGATAAACTCAGCAATGAATTTGAAACTTGCCTCCACATCACCCCGGTTCACTTGCAATCGATATAGAATGGCTGTGAATAAAATATATAGAAATAATGACTAATAGTAGTTTGCAGGTGCCCTTTTATGCTGACCCATAGGCAAATGAAAGTGTCACACACAATGGATTCCCCAATTTCCATGCAGATCCTGATTCAACATTTCCTCAGTTCCCCTTCAGTGAATTATTACTTTCATCAGTTGTTATTGCTTCCCTAATTTAAATATAAAATAAAAAGATCACCATTCCATTCAGGTGTGCATGTTCAAAATGCTGGGTGGGTGGCGGGACAATGAGTGAGGGCTGGCTTGTGGGACGGAAAGAGGCAAACAGAGGAAAGGGGGTTCCTTTTAGAGGTACAGTTGTAACCTCTAAAGTTAGAAAATGTGCCTGTTTATGATACGAAGAGCTTATCTCACCTGTCATAAATAACAATTATTATGTACCATAGAGTCAATTCTGAGTAGAGATGGGCATGAATTGGAAAAATGGGGATTCATTTTGATTCGTGATTCATCAAGGTCAACAAATCACAAATAACAAATTTACATTTTTTTTTCTAATGAAACGATGAATTCAATTGTCAATTTGTCTTTGCCTTTAAAACCCTATAAAACACCTCTGCAGCACCTAGAGAAACCAATACCGCAGAGAAGCTTCCCCCAATTCTCCTCTACAAGCCCTGCAAATTTGGTGATGTTTGGGTTTGGGACATCCAAGTTAAACACTCACAAAGAGAAACCATCCTGTTCCTGGACAATTAGGCTTGGGAGCAGGAGGGAGAGGAGGAGGCAAGGGAGTTTAAATGTCCATATGATCACACCAGTCAAGAGAGATGAGGGCTGGCCCTCCTAGCCCCACCTGTGTGCCACACCAAAACTTAAAAATAAATTGAGGAGGAGGAGGAGGAAGTGTCTCATTAGCACTAATCAACACACAAGACTCTCCGAAATTGATCTTAGGGCTTTGGAAAACTGATTCAGCATTTAGGTTCCATGAGCCCATGTCCTGGTAATGTCCTAACTTCATCCATAATTAGAAGAGAAAGAAACCAGCTGTTTTTACCTGCTAGTTCTGCCTGCCTTTTTTTGGAGTGGGGGGAGGGTTCAGGATATGATGGACAAAGTTGAACTCAGTGCAGAACATTTAAAATTCCACTCACTAGATAGGAAGGGAAGTTTGTTTATCCTAATACTTGTTACAAAGAGTGCATACCAATATGATGCCATAAATGATGTAAGTAAATTATATAAGCATGAAAATCCATAAACACATTTAGAAAGTACATAAATAAAGGAGCCAAATGTTCAGAGCCAACACTGTAGGCAAAGATATGGTTCAGAAATTCATGGATGCAATCAACTATCTTGCCAGAAATAGTTTCAGTTAAATTGATCTAATCCATTTCAGGTTCTGGCATACATAAAAAGCTAGTTTAATTCTAATCATGGGATCAATGCATACTTTTTAAATGTGGTCATCAGCCTTCAGCTTACTAAATCCACCACCCCTGTTAACTCTCAGGAGCACTTTAGGTGTAAATGGTTGCATAGAGTATCTATGGACACTGAAATTCTTGCATTGGTATTTGCTCCGGTTGCCTGTACAGTATACTGAATTGGCATGCTTTCCTTTTCAAGTTCAAGCTTTAGAGCCAATTCCTTGCATACATGGGGGTGGAAGATGAACTGGTTGCATCTGAGGGAAAGGACAGAAGGGAGGTGGGCTGGAATGATACAGTCTCCTGTTTGTCACTACCTTAAATGGAGCCAGCACAGCCAGGGTTGAATTACCTTCTACCTGCCCACCCCCATATCTAGGTTGTATGGGGATAAATGGTAAATGTTTCATTTCCAGAGTCTGTAATCAACCAGTCAGTCTTCCCAGCCTTCAATTAGCTTTAAGGCCAAGATTTTAGTTCCAAACACTGATCTCCAGAGGTGATTATTCTACATCTCCTTGTTGTGTGCGGATTAGTCTCAGTAGGAGAGCACCTGCTTTGCATACATACTGTTGAAATTCCAAGCTCAACCTCTGGCATCTCTAGGGAGAGCAAAGAAAGAAGCCCTATTCAGGTGTTTAGAAAGCAGTTGACAAGTCTCTCCTTTGCTGTTCCCCATGTAGTTAGCAACCCTGACTTTTCAGGCTCTCCAACTGCATGGAATGCCTCCATGTGGGGCCAGCTCTATACCCAGAGAATGACAACAGAGGGGCAACGGCTATCCCTTTCTCCTCTTCACAAGGCCAGTTTAATCCTTTTCTGAATGCCTGGACTGGATCTGAAACACTGAAAACCTCTTGTCAGATGGACCAGATGGAACAGTGGTTTGATTCAATATAAGTCATCTTCTTGGTTTAAATTTTACTATGTTCCTACATCAGTAAGAGCCATGTCAATAATAGCTACTTTATACTATAGTCCCATCTGGCTCAGTCCTTGACTTCATGTTCCTACATATGCCGAGCATATTCCCCAGTTTTGTCCCTGGCTTTAATTGCTATGCAAGAGCATCCTTCCACCCTACTACACATCTGTTTATTCTAGTTATTGCAATCTGTTTTCTTTTCTTTTGACCTCTGATCTGCCATCCAGGCCACATTTCTGCTTGTACCCATGGATTGTTAATTGATGCCATTTACATGGCAGATGGGTGACTGTGATTGTCTTGCATCATGTACAGATTCTTCTGAAGCATCAAAGAAGCACACCAATAAAAGGGATCATAGAGCCATTTAAGCTAAACCTTTGCTCACTAAGTTTGAATATTTCAAGTGCATATACTGTAGATCAGCTCAGGCATCTTCAGATTGTAGCGTGCAGAATGCAAAGAGCAGGAGTGCTGCAGAACAATGTTTGTAAAGCAGTCAACTCCAAGTAATACTTGTGAGCTAGCCTCACACTCAGGATTGGCAGCATCTGGTTAGCTGATATACTCAACCATTTGTCCCCACACCGCAAGTTACCTATGGCTTAAAACCAACATCACTCTGCTGTTGACCATAAATGCAATAGCAGTTTCTTCTCTTCCCGTACCCTTCTTGGAGCCCTCTGTGACACACAAAAGACAGCTGAGAATGGGTGGAGGGTTCTAGTTATTGTTTGGAGCAGGTTTTGGAGGTGTGTTGGGGTTTTTGGAAGGAGGGGCATCATAACTGACCAAAAGAGATCACAGCTGGTAGAGGAACAGGTGAAAGCAGTACTGCCCCTTTGGATTCTAGTATATGTGTTTTTGTAGACAGTCAAAACAAACATATTAATTGAAATCCGGGGATGAGTCACTACTAGAGTAGGTCCTCTGAATCAACTGGGCTTACAGATGAGTTCACACCAAATCCCCACTACTTCAATGGGCTTGTTGTCATTTTTGTTATGTGCCATCCAGTTGCCTCCGACTCATGGTAAAAGCTTTTGTTGCAATACCTTGAACATTACTTTGCTTGCATGAAAAAATAAAGCAATGGTCCTATAGTTACTGCAGCCCTTGGCATCTCCTTTCTTAAGACCTACTCTAATTCTGACTTCTTATTAGATTCCAACCATGGTTACCTTGTTTTACCATTCCAGCCTCCATCTAAATTCCCTTCCTCTGTTAACTTTGAGATTGTGAGTGTCTTCCAAGCACAGGCACATTGGTGGTGTAATGACAACATAGTAGCAGAATCAATTAAAAGCATTCCCTGAGCTTAATTCTCTCTGGATGTTGTAGTCTATAGATCCCAGCATCTCTGGTCATGCTGGTATCAGCTGTGCTGCCTGGAATGGATGAGATTTATAATCCAAACCATATGGAGGCAACAAGATGGGGAAGGGTAAGCCTGTGTCATTACTTTTGAACATCATAATATGGCATCCAGCTGTGCAACATGGTCTCGTTTTCTACAGAATTAAACTTTAGCTCTTTTTTCCCCTCCCATGAATAACTAATTGCTATCTTATGTATAGGGAGAAAAGACTTTAAAATATGCTTATGATAATTTGCTTCAAGACTAGGAAATGAATGTATGCCTAAATCTTTCATGATGGGGGAAAGAGATCCCAATATACCTATTTTCACCTTCTGATGAGAATAAGAAATACGGTAGATTTTAGGACACTTTTCCAAGGCAGCTGTAGACTACCCAGTATTATAGTATGCACCAACATCAGCCATGTCATCAAGTATTCATATACCTTACTCATACACCAATATGACAAATGGCATCATCTTTTTGTGTCAGGCTATCTCTGAAAACAACCCAGAAACTCTGCTTCGCACAGAACACACCTACTAGGATACTAACTGAGACCAGTCCCTAGGAAAAATCTCACCTGTGTTGGTTAAGAGTCTGTTCCCAAGCCCAATTCATACTATGCCTGCTTACATTTGGAATCTAGGTACCCAAAGGAATGCCTATTTCCATATCAATCAGCCCGTTGAGGCCTATATTTGGATGCCCTTCTGCAATTTCAGATAAGATGGGTTAATGAGGACCATGAAAAGAAAGGAAGTTCCCCTCCCTTTCATGGAGCTCCTCATTTATGAAATTCTCCCTACTTCTGTGATTGGACAAACACCTTTTGAATTTTCTCAGGCTTTTATTGAAGACTTCGATTAATCTGCTTTTATTGCTGCTTTCACTCTGCTTGTTTACTTGTTGGTAGTGTCTTTGCCAAGTTACCTTTACTTCTACTGCTATCACTACTGCAACAACTACTACCACCACGATAAACCATCCTGCAAATTGGCACACTGAAGGACAGTATGGAACAGATAGGAATAAATTGCCATTTTGACAGCTGGCCGCCAGTAAAAATACAGAGGAATAAAAATAGAATGCTTAGGGGAGTCTTATTTTCAAATGCTAGAGGACGTTTGAGAAACTGGTCCTAATCATGATTGCCTCTTCTCTTCCCAGATTCTCATGGGTGTTATATTGGAAGTGCTTGCAGAAGAATACACCAATGAGTTCACCCCTCCAGAGGTTCAGAGAGCCTGGGCCAAGATGAAGAGCCTCATCTGCACTCACGTGACTGCTGCGTACAAGGAGGTGGGCTGGGTGCAGTATCCGAACTCTACCATGTGAGCGGCCAAGGGAAACAGGGCTGGGAGGGGCCGGGGCTTCCTTTAAGGCTTTGTTGCCTACCACTCCGCATCACATTTCCATTTGACTCACAGCTCCCTAGCCTTGTAGTAAGAATTCTGCCGTGGAAATGAGGAGAAGCAGGAACACTCTCCCCTCTTCCCAACCATGTGCTGGGAACACACTTTGCTTTGTAGTTCAGTGTGGTTTCACAACCTTGCCTAGCTCCCCATTGGAGAACCTAGTCAGAGGGAATGACAGGCACGTCTCTTAGGCCACACAGATGTGGAGTTACCTGAACAATTAAAAAGCACATACTGTATACAGGCCACAGAAGCGGTAATACCATGGTTTAATTTTCCATGCTTGGCAGTCCCTAATGGGGAATTAAAAAGTTACCTGCACTGGCTCTTCTGATATTTGAACTGGTAGAGAAAGTATCTTCTTTCAGTAGGAAGGATGTGATTGTGCACATATCTGATGAAACCAATCCCAGATCCCAAGACAAAAGAGGCCCATTCGCACCACTGCTTCTGGGCCATCAGCTGGAGATGTGGACAGTACTGAGAAGAGACCAAACTATCTTTCTAGGTTTTGTTTGTGTGATGAGGGATGAGGGGAGGGGGAAAGGAGGGACTGGGGTTACATGACTGATAGTTTCACCTTGTAAACCCTAGGGCCTATTTTACTATGAGCTCTCCCATCATGGTGCTTTGCGATTTAAGATTAATACTGTAGCTTTTGCTTCCAGCTACCTTTGCTCCGTTGTTCTGTGCCAAATGATTTTCTGTTGGTTTGAGGATTGGGTTGAGTAGAGTAGCCTCACATTTTCTTTGTTTTTGGTTGTAAAATCTTTGTACAGTGGACCCTCTACTTACAGAATTAATCCGTATTGGAATGGTGGCTGCAAGTCGAAAAGTCTGTAGGTCGAATCTCCATTGACCTACAATGCACTGAAAACCGATTAATCCCATAACCAGTGGTTTTTATTCTATTTTTGTTCCATTTTGGTTTTTTTCTGGTCTGTAAGTCGATTCTCCGGCTGCAAGTCGAATCTAAATTTTGCGGCCAGAGAAGTCTGTAACTTGAAAAGTCTGTAAGTCGAGCCATCTGTAAGTCAAGGGTCCACTGTATGTGGTTTTAAAATACTTTCTGTTCTCCTTCTTGAAAAGCTTAACCAATTGTTCGCAGACATTTCCTGCATTAAAAAAAATCATTATTTCATTTGACACCCCCTTATCTCTGCAATTCAGATTTCTTAGTGAACATATATGATGTGTGTGTTCACCATACATAATTTAGGCAGTGAAACAGAAATTATTTATTTTAATTCAGTTCCTGTTGTCCTCCCTCCCTCTGTGTGTGTGTGTTGTATTAATCTCTATTATAATAGTGTTATGCTATTGTTAGTTTGCATTATCTTATCTTGTATATACTCTTATGTGAGTGAAGCAAAAAGGCAGTTGAATCTCACATGCTTTTTCCCCTGTCCTAAGCTTGGAAAAACTTTTTAAAATTCTCAGTCTGGCTTTGATTCTCCTGTTTCTTTTTCAGTCTGTAGCAGTATAATATATTTCTTAATTAACTGCCGCCTCCTCCTTTTTCTTCTTAGTCCCAGTCTCCCCCACCAACCGTGAAATTCATTCTATTACAGTTCCAATGAAATAAATACGTGCTGGCCTGGGGAATTCTTAACAGTAATCTAAGCTTTCTCTCTTGTGCTGTCGCTTTGCATGTATCTGCATGCATGTTTGCTGAATCCTTAAGGGATGTATGCACCTTTTCCTCCTTATGTTAAGTATATACTAATATTCTTCTGTTGTTTCACATCACTAGCTAGTAAAACCAAACTGTCAAAGCACGTAGTCTTTGCGCCTTCTGTCATCTAGGACCTGAACGGTCAAAGCATGGAGCCTTTGTTGTGGCTCTTGTCATCCAGGGCTAGGACAAGCAAAGTAGAGAGCCTTATGGATCTTGTCACCTAGTACTCAGTCAAAGCATGCTTCAGAGGTTCTTGTCCTCTGGTTTCTTAGTACTCAGGCCACATAGGTAGCTATGACAACTCCTGTTGTCTGGTACTCAAAGTCAAACGGTGCCTCTGTTGGTTTTGTGGCACCAAAGCCTGTTTTTGGAAGATCTTAGCATGAAGTAAGTCTGATGAAACAAACTGAAAGACCCATTGATTTCAGTGCTTTCTTAACAGAGCTCTCACACACTGGAGAGAGAGAGAGAGAGAGAGAGATTTTCTTAACAGAGCTCTCTCACACTGGAGAGAGAGAGAAACAAACCCAATTGTGCAATAGCTCTACCAATCCCTAGGCACCCTAACCCAGCTTTAACTGACCCAATGGACTCCAGATGTTTTATGTGTCAATTCCCAGAATCTCCCAGGCAACATATTGGCTAGAGATTCTAGAAACTGGAATCCAACCCCTTTGGAGGCAGCTAGGTCAGGGAAATCTGCCCTAAGTTATCCATCTTGTAATGATCAGGTCCAGGAATAAACTTTTGTTTGTGCTATCTGTTATGAACAAAACCTTTAATTTATGGGCAAATTTTAATTTACCCAAGCCTTCCTCCATCAAGCCTTAAGCTCCCAGTTAAATCTCCCTGGTCTATAAATCTTGGATAATAAGGCATCTGCCCATTGAGTCATCCAGCCTCAACTCTCTCCAGGGCTAGAGATATTTTTGCTCTTTGTTGATGCTGATTCACTTGCATAATTTTTGGAGCCTGTGATTCACCTCAGCTATTTGTCTAGATGGTAGGTGATGCAGCGCGTCAGTTCTGGCCTATTTTCAGAAAGAGCTCAGGGATATTAGAAGAGGATGCAGGGGGATTCCCTCTCCAATCTTGATTCATACTGGGCTAGAACAAAGGATTAGTCAGACAGATTGAAGCAGAAAGGATTTGCCAAGGAGCTGGAGAATGTCCCAGAGGCAACCCAGTCTAAGCAGTGAATCAGCACATAGCAGGCAAGCTCAGCGCTTTGCCAGGGAAGCAGATAGAAAGGTAATCGAGGATAATGTGTGTGTAATGATGGCGTTCTGTGGTTTGGTTCTTTCTGAGCTGTGAGAAGACCTCTCACCTGGCAGGGAGGCTTGTCTCATGGTATGTCTTATGAAGGTGTTAAGAATAAAGGACTTCCTGCTTTACTTTAGCTATGTCATGAAAACCAAGAATTTAGATTTTGTTCTCATGCGAGCCTGAAATTTACTAAAAAGCCTTTTAAAACACTAATCAAAATATTGATTTCGTTAAGCAGAGTAGCAGAGAATAAAGCTTTTTACTGGATTTTTATATCTATAGCAGCAATGCAAGAAAGAAGAGGGCAAATATTAGGCAAAATATATTTCCAGAAGATTATCTGAGAGCATGGAGACTGTTCCAGCTACATTAATTTTTATCAGCTAAAAGAATTCGAATGACCTTGCAAGCTGACACCAAGTGTTTGTCAGTGTGGCGCTTCCTCCAGTGGGTCAGCTAATGGAAGTTTTAAAAGTATTTCTGCTGGCCTGGGTTGTTTCAAGATCAGACACACTTGGGGGGGGAGGGAACAACCCTGTTAGAACCCTTCTGCTCCTTGGTCTCCCCACCCTTCAACTCTTTCAAACTACAGAAGCTTGACTGAGGCATAAACAGACATTCTGGGTAGATTTGAAAGCCAGCTGATTTCCAAATCATGTGAAAAAGGGGCAGTGCAAAGTCTCTTGCTGCCTGAAATGGAAGGAGAAGCACCGTTCCATCCACAGGGCATGGGACTGGGGTGGTTGATGCTGCGACCATGTTCCCAACACCGTCCGCCTCCCCCCACCGCTTCCGCCCATATATGCTGCTAGAAAAGAGGAGGAGGAACCACTGTCCCAAGGGAGCCGTTGCTGCCTCTGCTACTCTAAATTCTCCTGCTGCTTCCTAAACTTAATGGTTTTTTTCAACAGGTGGTTATTTTATTTTATTTTATTTTTGGCCACTGGTCTCACAGTGCCTTTGGCTTGGAGCACTCCTGGGAGCTATGCATTCAGCTATTTCATTCAGAAAGCTGTGTGGCTTCTGGAAGAACATGGGGAATCTGGAACAGAATGGGGGAACAGCAAGGGCTACTTGGCAGAGAGACAGGTTTGCCACCTCTGCCACTTCTGCTGCCTGAACCAACTGCCTCTGTTTGGTTAATGGTGAGGCCAGTCCTAATGTGAGATGAAAACACTTGGATACTGTACAGACTTTCCGTTTCTAATAATGGGTTATCTGTAATTATCTACAGGTTCGTTTTCTGCCCAAATTGTCACAGTCATGCCATCTAAGAATGTAAATCTTTGCTGTTGTTATTGGAGGTGGTGAGAACAATTTTTTTCAAAGGTTTCTTTTCCAGGTGAAATTAGAAACATGCATTTTTCTTCCATTTTGGTACTTAAAACATTTTGCACAAAACCTTGCATTTTTTTAAAAAAACGTAATTTGCATTTGAACCCCATGTAATTCATGCAAAATACAAGATTTTAAATGTAAAATATAAGGTTTCCAAGCAAAAATCCCACAAGCTTCTATTTTTTCCTAATGCCGATGCTGCTGAAAACCACACACTGATCTCTTTGCTCTCTTGCAGGAGCAAACCGTCTCCCAGCAGTTGACAATTTTTTCAACAATGGGCTTTGATTTTTGCCAAGGACAAGCAAATTTATAAATATTCATTCCATCTTTCATATCATCTGAAATCCTCAGTGGCAATATGTTAAAGGCACGGTAGGCAAATGACAAAAGAAACTTGACTGTAGAAGACAGTCCTACAGTCAGGTCTCCACAAGTGCTAGGAAAACAGAAACAGTGGGTATGACTTCGGGTGTAGATGGGTGAGAGAGAGCTGGTAACTTTATTCCCAGCAACCTAAAATTCACTATGATGATAAAGGAAAAGAATCAAAACATGAATCAGAAAAACACAGTGCTGTTCTCTTGTTTTAAATCCTTTGTCAGCACCTAATTTATTCTGTGATTCTAATAGC